GGTATTACTTGGTGATAGAAATAGGGTGATAAAAACAGGCCTACTGGCCGCCTCCACTATTCGAAATTTTCGATAAGAGATTTTTTCTCAGTCACAGAGAATTTTTTATAGAAATTCCTATAATATTTCTATATTTCTAAAAATAAACTAATAGTTCACTTATTTATGAAATTTAAATAATTGTTTTTATTTTGAGAATATAATACAATGGTACCACTCATGTGGAATTCAAATCGTTATTATTACAAGCATCTGTCTTTTTTATTCATATTTGTTTGATCATATGAATTATCGAGGAAATGATTTTCAAGCTAAAATAACAATTTTTTATAAAGCGATCTGCTATACATTAAATCACAAAAATTTCTGGATCTCCTAAAGAAATTCCTGCATTCTTCTTTTATAGCTCGCACCGTTATTGGATTAGGCTGGTTCCATTGGTTACCTACGTGTGAGGCATATTTGCTTCTGTTGGTTATATGGATCAGAGGTGAAATTCATGTTCATTTTTAATATCATTTTTATGTTTCGAATCAATTTTTCTTATATTTATTAGCAATTATAATTATTATTTACTCGCAAACATTACATTTACTGGAAAAAACTTAAGCAAATATTAGTCGAAATATGAGCTGAAGCATATAATTTATTTTTCCATATGATTCATTTTTGCTTAAGGCATTCGAAATATTCATTCCACCATTTTTTCCTCTTCTAAAAGTGGTTTGACGCTCTGCACTAACTAATAGCATGAGGTTCCTTGGCTAAAGGGCCATTTAGACAGTGCGATTGCCAGTACCACAGAAATTCCATGGATGGACTTCCGTCAAGATAGAGGTATTGAATCTAATCACATTATTGGTCCACTATTTATATGATAAATGCTGGCCTTATCGTGATCTCGTTAAATTATAGAAATTTAGCGGATGAAAAATATATACCATTTGTTTATTTCGTTCAAAAGATGCCAAATGGCTAAACATAACTAAATATTACCTGAGATTTTCAAAATATGCATTTGGCGTCTACTTTAGATAATATCAATTCTCAAATAAAATAGATGAAATTTGAGATAAATTTCTGGATTTTCTCTGGACTTATCTTTTTATCAGTCAAAATTCGTTGGCTATCTCAATAGCTAAGCTGGATATTTAATCCATGAGATTATTAAAATCTAAATTTCTATTTAACAAAATTTTAATATCGTCTCTTCTTTGGCTTTTTCTATAATATTGTCATCTCCAAATAAGTATATCCGATTTTTCATTTGTTCCACAGAGACTTTGAAAAAAAAAAAAAAAAATTTCCGACATTTGCCTCTTGAATAATTGAATTTTGATGAAATCCGCTGAAAAAAACCATTCATTTGCCTCAGTTGCTTGTCAATACATCGGAAATTTACGAAAATAATATATGAGGAAGACGAATCATTTGTTTAAACTTTTATCACTAAATTTTATCAAAATATCAACATCAGCTTGATGTTTATCTTCATTTCGGCAAAAATTATTCGAAAGAAAAATTGAATCTTTTTTTGAATTTTATTAAAATAAAGAAATGTTCTTCGAAAATATTTTTTTCCTGTAATATTGAATTTTAAATATATTAATAAATAAATAATTTAGAAAAAATAAAATCATTATTTTTTATTTATTTATTTATCATTATTTATTTTTTCTTCTTTTCCTTTCCAATCCTTTCTATTTGTCCATAAATGATAGTCAAATGTGGTAGGCAGAATAAACGAATGCTTAAATTATCACCTTCAGCGTAAAGAGTTGCACCAATACTTCGAAATAAATAAACCTGTCATTAAAGAATTTGAGTGTGATGAATCCTCTAAATTCAACTGATTCAATGGTATTCCAAAGATTTCTTATCATACTAGGAACCAGAGGAGCAAACCAAATCTAACTGGAAATTAAGAGCGATGAACTTTTTTCATTTAATCCGTCTTCTTCTAACAGCTTTCATCATTACTGGCTCATCTACATGGATAAAACGTTCTAGCTGTACGATCTGATGCCATCTGATGCTACAGTAATAGAAGCCATTCGTTTTTTTATCATCTAAGTCCATATATTAGTGGTCCACTTGTACATTCAAAGTCTTTCCTGACCGTATCAGTTCAGGTCTTGATACCCATCACAGGGTTTATTCATAATAAATAATACAATTACCTCGATTTAAAAAAATTTGATTAAACTATCAAGAGGACAGTATGAATATAGGCATTGCTGCGGATCCATTTCCGGTATACAGTACCACTCCATTAATCAACAAACAAGATTTTCAGCTTTTCACGATAATTACTCCGCAGCAATTTTCTGCTTAAATTTTGCTATTTTGGTCCAATTAATTCAGTTCAATTCAATTCAGTTGTAAAAATTAGCCATTAACATTGGCATCAGACTTAAAAATTCGCGCTTTTAGCCATTATTTTACGCTAAGGTTTCAAACTTCGTTTAGAATTCAAAAATTTAGGCCTAAATTATTAATATTCATATTAATAGGTTTTTTAGGCATTTGCACGGCGAAAAAATCTGTGGCCTATGCGTTTCGCTCTTTCGTTTTAAATTCCCCGCATTAAGATAAAGCAATAATCAGTACATAAATTAAATTAAAGTAATTATTTCATTACCCTCTCAATAAGCCGAAATTAACTTTTTCATTTTCAGCTTCGACTTTTCCCCAATAAACTGTTATCATTTTCATATATCACTTTATCACTTATATCACTTTTTGTGTTAGTTTTTGACAGGACTCCAATATTTTTCTGGAAATTTTCCATATTTCTTCCATAAATACCACATTCAAATGATTCATATTATCGTCAATGAAAAGTTGGCTTCGAGGCAACGAACTTCAACCTCGCTTAGTCAAAACAGCAATCATAAACAGAGGTGCCGATACATGATGGCATAAGAAATTATCGTCTGACTTTTAATAAAGATCGATGCGGCCACATAAATTTTTCATTATTTTCCGAATTAATAATTTTGCGTAATAAGTGTTGAGGAATCGGATTTTTCCCATTTTGATATTCTTTTATTACAAAAATATTGGAAATTTTAGTAATCGATTTTTATTCTCAAATGAAAGTTAATTGAAAAGAAGTTCAATGAAAACTTCGAACATCGGATTTCTAATATTTGAGCACCAGAATGCCTGAAAGTACCACAGTTTTGCTCCTCATCCGTTGCCAAACTTCCTGAAAGTACCACAGTTTTGCTCCTCATCTACTGCCAAAATTCTGAAAGTACCGCAGCTTCGCTTTTGCTGAATTCATGCTTACCACAGAGATTTCTAAGAGATATTATTCTTTCACAATGAATAAAACGTTTTTTATCAGAATTTTTGCTAAATTTTTTATTTATAATTTATCATTTTTTTGCCAGAGGGTACTCATTTGTCTTGCTTCTCATCCGCTGCCAAAATTCCTGAAAGTACCACAGTTTTGCTTCTCATCCGCTGCCAAAATTCCTGAAAGTACCACAGTTTTGCTCCTCGTCTACTGCCAAAATTCCTGAAAGTACCGCAGCTTCGCTAACTCATTCTTACCAATGTTTCTCATGTTAAGTCATAAAATAACGTATTATTTGCTAGTAAATGTTTAAGTCATACAAGTCGACGATGAGAATATTCTTTCTTTGCTCCCTTTACTGTCGGACAAGGCGAATCTGCATTTCTCCTATAAATCTTCACATAATTTGCGTGGAAAGAAGCGTGGCCACAGCCTCAAACAGCGAAATTTTGGGCAGCTATAATAAACTGAAACCTTTCTAAATTCATTATTTCCTTATTTCTTTAAAACTCTCCTCGTATTCCTTAAATTTTGTTTTCCTCTTCATATCCTTCGTCAGACTTCATAGTGGTGCATTTTTTCGCGGCGGGCATAAAAATGGAAAAGGTAAAGTGGCACGGATTGGTTGCATTGAAAAAGCGCAGTTGATTGAGTCAGTTTCGAGGAATCGAGGGAGCTTTCGCCGCATTCTTAAATTGCCAAATCTCGGTTCTTCATTGCGAGGCTATCTTTGGCAATAGAAAATTCGATGTACCATTTAATCATCAGTTTTTTCCTCTAATTTTTGCTTCATTATTCTTCAATTTGCTAGTTATTGGGAATTCCATAGCTGATAAGAACTTTTCCATTATACGGCCTATCATAATATCACTGCTATTTATCATTTCCACTTATCGTAATAAGTCAATTCTTTTTTTTTATCACTTCGTTTTATCGCATTGATTACTTTTCATTTCATATCAGTTGTCAAGTATCAAATTTTTTTCGTCATCGAAAAATCGCAACTAACAGTGAATATTATTGTCGCTTGTAAAATTCGACTCTATCGACTGATAACAGTTGTTCGAATTTTTTTTAAATGAATTTTGTTTATTTCAAAAATTTTTTTTCAATGAAATAAACAATTTTTCCGATTATTATAGATTACTATTATTATTATTATTTTTCCATTTATTGGTCAGCTTGCGCTTGAATATTTTTTTATTCAAACCCATTATGCAAGCTCATTTTTCTTTTTTTCTTTTATTGCTTCTTTTGTCTTAAAAACTAAAATTATCGAATGAATTATGAAAATGGTAGTTATAATTGATTTAGTTAACTGATTAGTGATATTTTATCAGTGATTAGATTTAAGGAATTGAAGAAAGAAAGAAGCAATATAGGTTGAATGATAAGTTTGGTGAATAATGATTAAACTGCAATAAATAAAAAGTCTTTGCAGACTCGAAGATTCGCAATATCTATGAATATCTATCTCACTGCAAATAATAATAATAATAATAAATCTTTATTTTAGCGTATTGTCCGAAATATTCTGATAAAACTTATTTGAGCGGATATACTTATCGAGCATATGTTTCCGATTGTCGTAAAAAATAGTCATTTGCAGATTTAATGCGTTTTAGTTTATTTTCAACATAATTATGTTAATATTGTTTGGCTTTGACCTCAATGAACAACGTGGAAAACAGCAAAGATGAGTCTACAACGACAAATTACCTCATCACAATGCAGGTTTGCAATTTTTTTTCAGGTTAAATAATTTTGGAGTTCGATGATCAAAATTGCCTTAGAGGCAGTATAGCTGAGTGGTTATTAGCGTCGGAAATGATTCTGATAAGAGTAAAGAGTAAAGTTTTTTTTTAAAAATCCAAGTGGTACTGCCTACCACTCGTATTTCTATCGCCAAGTGATTTTCAAGCAACAACTCCTTATCCCAATCTTATCATTCATTTAAATTAAATTCTTGTATATTCATCTTCTCATATTTCTTATTAATAAATATTATAAATTATATTTTTAGTATCTATCTGATTAACTGATGAAAATAATTAGCCATTTGCAATTTGTCATGTAATCCTTTGCTTTGTTCGTCCTTTTTCCATTTTTTTTTTAAATTATAAATATCGAAATCATAATTGCTTGAAATTAAGTTGTTCATAGGTTGTTAATATATAAAAGCTAGCGAAGTTCGAAATCTTCATCGACATATTTATCATTTATCATTTATCACCTGAAAATAACCACTAATTTAATGTCCAGCGAGCTTTTCTCGATAATATAGCGTCTCGCACCGCAAGTCAAATAATTGCAAATTGTAAAATTCCAGATTCCATTCCAGACTGCGCTTGCAAAATCCTATAACACCAAAATACCAAAATCCTATAAAATCCTATAATGGTGTTTTCGTATTAATAATGCGAATAGTTTATTACATTCCATTAGAATAAATTCTTTCTGAAATAGTAAATGGTAGTTGATTTGCTTATTATTTTATAATTCTAGGGATCAGCTAATTTAATTTAATTATACGTTCGTAATTTTTTTTTTTTTATAAGAGTCCTCACCATTACTGGTTACACTCCACGCACTCCACTGGCTTATCGCAATTGGGCAATATTCCAGAGAGTCCCTTGGCGATAGAAGTTGCAGGTGAGTCGCCAACATCCACAACACCCAGATTTTCGTACAGGTTTAGTTTACTCCTGCGGAGAGGCGAACCTCGGCATCGGCGCTCCCAATTGAGCAACAACCCACTGAGCCATTCTGTACCTTCGATATATGGTCATTAGAATATTATTTCAAAGAATCTAATTATTGCTGTAAAAAAAAAAAAATTCTCATGGTACTCATTAGCGTTGTCCAGTGATATATTCATTGATAAATCACACGAGATTATTGATAGCAGTTGAAAGCACAAAAATTATTTGTAATGACACGAGGATTTATGATTCAAAGGCTATTTTAATTAATTAATTAAGATGGATACATATACATTCGTTTTCTTGACTCTCGAAGTAATATGTTATGGTTAATTGATGGTGATATAATTTGAGCTGACTGGCTTGTTAAAATCGATTTATTTTTGTTCGTTTTTTTTGAAATTTTAGTCAGATTTTATAGTTTGTTGCTTGTCCAGTACGTGATGGTTATGTATAATTTTTACTTCTTTATTTATTGTTCACTGATATAATTATCATTAATGATTAAGTCGCTGCATTACTTTAATATGGCAGTTATTACAATTTCTTAAAATTTTTGACTTTATTTGGCATGTACAATTACAATTATTAGTGATTTCTAATGATTTTTGGAAGTTTGGAAACGAAACGAAGCAAAAGATCTAAGGATGACGTATATAGCAAATATTTTGATAACGCCAAACATATATTTTATATATCAGCAATTATTATTATTATTGTTATTATTATTGCTGTTTATTGTTATCACTGTTAATATTATTTTTTATTATCGTTTACTATCAATTTTATAAACGAAATGAAATAAAAAATTGAATAATGGAAATAGGCAAACACTTTGCTTGGATTCAATGATTTGATTTTGATTTATAGACAATTTTTAGGAATTATTTCGAAATTATTAAATGTAGGAAAAAATTTCTCAAAAAAATTTTCATTTTTTTCATAAAATTTATATCAATTAAACGTGTTAGAATTTTCCACTGAAGCAGATACATCGATGAAGAAAAAATTGAATAAAATTAGGGGAGGCGGCTATGAGAGAGAATTACTCCGCCATACTAAATAATATTTATATTTACATTTAGAATTTAGGTGAATTTAGCAAAACCAATTGAATTTAGCCTGAAAATAGAAAAGAAGATGGGAAGAATTCAATAAAAATGTCATTAAATTATCGAATCGTAATTAGATTTCGGTTATTTGCTAAAGAATTCTTTTATTAGGCTTTGTAAAATAATTTATTGATATAAAATAAATTATAAATTTTATAGCGAAAAATATTATAAAAAATGAATTAGGCGGCAGTGGTTTTTAAAATAAAATAAACCATCGTTAATAAAAAATATCATAAAATGTGGCGATCGCTTTCTTCGTAAAGTATTATAAAATTTAGTTGGTTAAAATTTATTAAATTTTTTCTAATTTTATGATAAATTTTATTGGTTTCAATTCTTTTTGAAATCGGTTCTTCTCTTGTTAATTAAATTATTTAATTTTAGGCCAAGTATAGGAGGTATTGGAGGAATGGGAACAGCAATTCCAAAGGGAGTTGGTGCTCCTCCGCCACCGGGAATGGATCCTAGGCGAGGAAAGTTAATGTGCATCAAGGTGCGTATGCTCGACGATACAGTTGGAGTTTTCCATCTTGGGGTAATTTTTTTTCCATACTTTTTACATTTTATCAGTTCCGTCATTTGGTGTCTTGGTTCTTTATTTGATTACAGTTCTTTTCGATTTGGTCCCAGGCTGGAAATCTGTGTCTATTCCTCCTGTACTAATATATTGTTCTTATATCTAAATTTCTATTAAATAAGGGATTATAAACAAATAAGGGATTATTATTAGCAGATGGTTTTATGGTTTTCTGTAGGTGGGTCAAGTACGTTTGCCTTCGTTTTGGTAGATCTAATTTAGCTAATTGATTAATTTAATCACGGTTAATTAATAGGCAAATCTATGTAACGGAAATAGAAATAATAGAAATAGATGAAATTCTAAGCAATCCATTTCAAGCTAAATGAACTGATCACTAATTTTCTTTCTTAATAAATGAAATGAGTTAATATGAGATTTCTCAAAATTTTCTAAAATATTTCAAAAATTTATTTCTTAAATAGATAGAAATAAACTTGTAGCACAAGGCAAATGGGCAAGCGTTGTTCGATGAAGTGTGCAGGCATCTCAATCTTCTCGAATGCGATTATTTCGGCCTTGAATTCACCGACTGTTTTGGCAATAGGGTAAGAGAGTTTGTTGAAGAAAAAATTACAGAAATGTTTTTCGCCTCAAATTTCGACATTTTTAAATGAAATTAATTTTAAGTGTTGGTTGGATAAGGAGAAAGCTATTCTTCGTCAAATAACGTCAACGCGAAGTAATGCGCGCTTTTATTTTATCGTAAAATTTTATACACCAAATCCAGCAGATTTAGAAGAAGAATATACAAGGTTTGATTATATTTGATTATAATATTGCCTATTTTTTGTATAAATTTACGAAAAAGGATTCTATAGTAAATCTTTAAAATGCAAGTTATTCATCTCCTATTTTTTATGGAAAGAAATTTTTTTTTTTGTTTTTCAGGTACTTATTCGCACTTCAAATCAAGCGTGATCTGGCATCAGGTGAATTGTTATGTAATGAGAATACAGCCGCACTCCTAGCTTCATATATCGTTCAGTCGGATTGTGGGGATTTTTCATCAGAGGACTATCCCGACCATACCTATCTCTCTAGTGCTCACTTCATTCCCAATCAAAATACCGACTTTCAACAAAAAGTTATGGAAAATCATTCAAAAATTATGTGCGTTTATTTAACTTTATTTAATTTTCTGTCACTTCCTGCTCATAATTGCTATATTTTTATCATTTTTTTTTCATTGAAATAGCTTGAATTTATAGATTTAAATCTTTTATTGTTATTTCATGGAAAAGACAAATCAAAGCTTTCCTTTTAGTGGAATGAGTCCCGGAGAGAGCGATATGGCTTTTCTGGAGACGGCCAGGCGGTGCGATTTTTACGGTGTCAAATTGCATCCCGCTAAGGTACTTTCTTGTTTTCTACAATTTTTGAAATTGATTTGAGCCTTCGTCAATAATATTAATAAATAAATATTGATGAACTTGAATTTCAGGATGTCGAAGGTACAGATGTTAGCCTTACAGTAGCTCATATGGGTATACGGGTTTTTCATCTTCTTCAATGTGTTTCCACATTTTCTTGGGCTAAAATTCGCAAATTATCATTCAAACGCCGAAAACTCCTTATCAAACTTCATCCCGAAAGCTATGTAAGTTGTATATGTTCATCTTTCATTCCACGTTGTAAAAATTTCTCTTTCTTCGTGCTTTCTTAAAAAAATAAGGTAAATAAAAAGACAATCTTAAGCCAAAATTATTTCATAATTCGTATCGCTTTTATATCGCTTAACTGAGTTATTCACCTTGTTTTATTTAAATTTTGTGCTTTTTTTCATTAAACATAATTATCGACAGGAGAAAGCAATTCTTTTCAGCCATTTCGCAACTGATTTTTCCTCATTTTCAGCAATATTATAAAGAGACCATTGAATTTTCGTTCGATGGGCGAAATGAGTGTAAGAATTTTTGGAAAAAATGCGTCGAACATCATGCTTTCTTCAGATGTATAGAAATTGTTTCAAGAAAGAAGGGCAAAGAAGGGCGATTCTTTAGTAAAGGATCTTCATTCAGGTGTGATGGTATTGTAAGGTTCATCTTTCGGTGACACTAAATTGATTACTTTCAGGTACCATGGAAGAACTCAAAAACAACTTATTGATTATGTTAGAGAACATCGTAAAAGACGGGAACCATTCACCAGGTGCCAAATGAAATTTCTATTTTTTATCTGTCAAGTTTATTTTTTTGTTTTCTTTTAATCAAAATAGATATACTTTTATATAATAAATATATGATTAAATTCAAAAACTTGTTTAAAGGGTGGCACATATTTGCGAGAATTGCCATATTTTTTTGTCCATTATTAATTGAATTGAACTATTTCATCAGAAATATTTTGCATTGTTTTTGCGTGATAAAAAATGCTAAATTAATCCACTAACCTTGAAATTTTTGAAATTAAATTCATTTCAGGCCCTTAAAACCAAGTTTATCTTCAAGAAGTGATCGCTTTTCTCGTCCGCCATTTTTCGATATCAACACTGGCTATTCAGTAGTTGGTGATCGTTTACTTAATACATCTCGCGAACCTCGTCCAGTATTTCCATCAACTTCAGATGGTAATTCAGTCGCTTCAATTCAGCGTGTAAATGGTCATCAAGCAATGGATGGAACAGGTAGCATACGGATAGATTATCATCCTCGTATAATCCATACTCATTCACAACCGAATACCGCTCGTTCACAGCGTAATCGACCATCAGATTCCTATCGAAATGGTACGTATTCAGATGGTGAACGCATGTGCACGAGTGATATGGAATCTAGCACTTATCGTATTGTAAATAATTCATCGCGTTACAGACCGATTTCTAAGCCTATTGCTGGAAAAAATCCTCCCGCTAGCGAAAATGCACAGTCGGATGCACTTACTTCCTTATCACTGCCCAATGTTCTTGGTGATGATGTGCAGTTGGTTTGTAGAGAGTTCGAGCTTAAATGTGAATGCCCACCAAAGTCCGCTTCAGGTGATAATTTTCTTGAGATGCATCAAACAACCCGCGATTACGATAATATTAGCGAAGGCTCATATCGACTTTCCGACTATGAACAATATTCAACATATTCTGACGTGCCATTCCTTTATAATCCTGTCTATTCTACGACATTTACTACGAAGCGAGTTGGTGACGTCATTGTTAAAAAGGTTATCAGCAGTAATAGTCGTTCAACTTTTAGCAATGCAGATGATGAAAGTTGTAAGGTAAAGGGTAGAATCAAGCAACTGGATACGAAAACTGTTGATAATCTTCGAGAAAATATCGGTGAAATCTGTCGTAATGTCGATTGTTTTCCAGGTATTATAAAAGGTCATGAAAGTTATAATGTAAGAAAAATCGCGCAAGATAAACAGTCATCAGCAAGTTCATCAGCTCCTTCATCACTTGTTGAATACCCATTACATCGTAAGTTAGTGCCTATTGAAATAGATGGTCCTAATATAAAACTTGATGAATACAAAAATAGGATACGAAAAAATGATGAAAAAAATATTGGAAAGAAGGAAGATGCAGAAAATCATGCGGCTAAAAGGCCTCCGTCCATAATATATACTTCAAAAGGTGTTATTTTACAAAAACCGAAAGTGATTCCGGATGTTGATACTTATCGTGTTAGTGAATCTATTTATAGCCAAATAAATGTGACGCAGTCATCAGCAAGTGCGCAAAATAGCACTGTAATTACGCAGCCTCAGGCAATACCTAAAACCTATGGGGCCATAGGTCCTCTCCCAGGCAAGGTGATAACAAAGGAGGATCTAATGATCACTCCAGATGGCATTCGAGAAAAGCGCGTTAAGCCTATTGTTCCTCCTAAACCAAAAAATCTTTGCAGTCCATCGGGAAATGTGGAAGAAATATCAGAATTAAAAGACATTCCTCCACATCCTATTGTGAACCTTCAAAAGGAGGAATTCACTTTGATACAGAGACCAAAAACTGATGAAGCTATCTTACAACGTCCAACGTTAATTTCAGTTCAAAGTGAGGATGAACCAGAGATCCAAAAATATCATTTATTTAATAGTGATATTCCTTACGTATTAACAATGCGAAATATTTCCACTGATCCAACTGATTCTTCATTCTCAACATTTAAAGATCCCACTGAAATAACGGCATTACCAAATTCATTTGGGCATACTGGTAGTCTTGTGCGAAATCGAAAGCAAACAAAAAGTCCAGAAATGTCTAAACGGCGAAAATCTTTGGATTTGGTGCCGCGAAAGCGTCTTCCCTCACCAGGCAATTATTCATCCCAAGATCATTCAATATCGCCAACGACACCTGAATCTGGTGATATTCTTGAATATTTGCTGAAAAGACGAAGTCAAGAAAAAACTGCAATAGTGAAGAAAGGAAGGCGAGGTGATCCTAGGCGTCAAACACAACCTGTTCGTTTCAATTTACCTCCAAGTCCAGAGATAGAAAATCAAAAAATAGCATCATTATCACAGCCAAATTTGAATGGGAACGATGTTATGGATATAGAGGAAGAAATTATCGAAAATTTTGTTGAAGAGGATACTAAAAAAATTGAAGATGATCAACGTAGTTGTGGAGAATATGATAATGTATCGCCGAAGTTTATCCAAGCCGATGAAGCCGATGATAAGAGTGTTGAACAAAACTGCTATAACACGCTGAAAACTGAGGTTAATGAAATCGAATCGTTAAATGGTGACGATTTTCCACCGCCACCACCACCACCTCCTCTTCTACCAGAAATTACAATAGAACAAATAAATTCTTCAACCATTTTACCTGAATCAGTCAGATCTTCTGGTGTGATTCAAGATACAACTGATTTGCTTCCTTTTGTCGACGATTCATTATCTTCGAAAACATCTCAGGCTTCGAAAGAAGATGGTGATGAGTCGAAAGACCATGTTACATCTTCATCAACATTGCGTACACCAACCGGCGTACTCTGGACTGATTTTTAATTGTGAATAAGTGAGGTTTATTGTGTCGGAATGGTAGATGAATTTGAAGCAAACGCTCTGTGATTATTTTCATCATTTTAGCTTGTTTTTCTTTAAAATAATTTTATTCCTTTTTTAATTATCTCGTTTGATAAGTAAGCCCTTCAATTTGCATAGTTTTTTGATTTTTGCTCAATTTTTAGTAATATGCGCATATTTTCCTTGCGTATATTGACTATTGACCAAGAGAATTTCTTCACCAACATATTTTAAGAAAATCATTTTGAATGAGATAACTACTTGGATATTCATCCGGATCTCAATATTGGCTTTCAGTTGCTTAGTTTTTTATCCTTTTAGCATAGTTTTCTTGCCGCTTAGGGAAAAATTCCTATATTTATAATGATTAAATCTGGTTATTCTTATCCAAGTATTGAAAAATTATTAGCTTCTCACTAGGCCAAATGGCAATTTTCTAAGAAGATTCTTTAGATATGATGCAAATAAAAAATATACCATAGGTTAAAAGTGATTGTTGATTAGAGGAATGCAAATGCGAATCATATTGCTGCCTGCCATGAATGCATTGCACTGCACATTATACAATTTATATTATCTATAGACGGGTGCTGTGCTCAAAGATTTTAATTCTGAGTGCACCGAATTTGCAAGTATTATTTGTTATTATATATGTTGCTTATTGTTTCCTGCAGTGCTTATGTGGGTATCACACTTATCTTGCACATCATCGCTTGCACTCTTAGAACGATGGATAAGCTAATAATTTTTAGCCTTTTTAGTTTCTGAATTTGTGTTAAGAAATATGCTACCAGAGTAAATCTCGTGGTCAGTGAAATTAGGCACCACAAGAATATTAAATTTCTTAGAGACAATTGCTCTGGTATGTTTAAACGTTATCATTATTGGCTTATCAATCTCAGTCCGATAACTGTCCTATGAAATTGTTTTTCGATTATATCAATAAATAAACTAATAAAGACTTACCATAAATTTGTTGCATTTATTGTTGTTACAACACACGCAAAAAATTAAACTAAAGAAATCGTCGCTGTAACGCTGCAAATTAATTTTGTTATGATGTCCCCTATGAATTGTTTTATTCATTAGACCTAAGAAACAATAGCCTACGTTTTTTTCTAAGAATTTGTTTTTATTAATTTACGGAATTTATTCCAGTATTTTGGCAATGCCAGAGGTATTTTTCGGCATATTTAGGATTTATGAATTGTGTTAATTCCCAATTTATTATTTAATTCTTATAAATTATAAGTATTGTCAAAAATGCCTTTGTCAATATTGTCAAACTATTGAGATAAATTCTGTAAACCGATTCTATTCCGATTTTTTGCTTTTTAAAATATTTTTTAAATTTTTCTTCCAAAAATTTATTGCCATCACATTTTTATGGTTTTCGATGATCAAAAAAAATTGTGTTGAAGAAAAATTTTTTCAAAAAAATTTTAATGTTTTTTCTTTCGCCTTGGAGTGATTCTTCCAAATTTTAATTATAATTAATGGTATTACATTTTTTTCATAATTTATAAACAACGCCATCTAATCTTTTTATTTTTGTTTTTTTGTGACCAAAATTTCTAATTCTTTGGGGATTTTTTATAAATATTTTCAATAAAACGACGTCAAAAATATTTTATGAAATATAAACAATTTTATTCCTTCAAATTATTTTATTTCAATTAATTTAAGTTAATTTCAATTAAAACTTAAATTAAAAATAAAAATTCCAAAGAAAATAAAGCATTGGTCACTATGTTTCTATTGAAATTTATTTATGGATTGTATTTATTAAATTGCCAGTTTTTTAAAATATTTTCTATTGTCTTGTTTAATAATTATTCTAGAAGGCAGCAATAAATATATATTTTATATTTTAATATTGACTCGGAATTCCAAACTTCATCATGAGAATGAGAATTTAGATTTTAGAAAGTTAGTGGTGAGGACTTATTAGTTGTGATTAAACTCGCTCCACTGGTTGTAAGTAGATTGTGGACAATTTTAGCCGAGAATATTATTTGGAGTAGATCCACCATCCGGTTATAGATCCATCATCCTCTTATGTTGCAGAAGACTAACCAGATTTTCAATAAGATTCCAAAATTCACATATTGCCTAGTTGCCTAGTTGTCTTTGCGTTAAATCATTGCTTATTATAATGTGATTTTCACATGGTTTTGGTTTTTTTATTGTATATTGTTGATATTATCATTATTATCATTGGTACAATATATAGTCTTTCGAAATTCAGCTAGTCATTAGGTAATTTCATTTATTCTTAAAAAATTTTGAAAAAATATTTGTTATTTTCTTTCTTTATATGAATCTCATTGTCCATCAAGTATTATTTTTCTTTTTTTTTTTCTTGAATAAAATTCTTATCACTATTGTTTTCGACTTTATCAGCATTTTATATTTTATGAAATTTAATCTAAGAGATTCAAACTTAATTTCGCTTGCTGATTTGCTGGTGAACTTATTTGATTTTATAAGGTGTGTTTGGGTTGTAAATCGTACTACTCAATCAAGCGATTTCATTCGTTCATGTTAGCACATGAAAAAATAACATTCTCGAATTTTTTTCAGCTTATTTCTAACTTATTTATAATGGTGAATACGGGTCGCACCTTTTTTCTCTGGTTGGTCAAGTTCCAGGATTCCCGTAATTTACCCCCTAGGTGCTACTTTAAGTTGATCTTAAAATCGAGCAAGAACAACTGGCGATAGACGGTTTTGCCTTTCTTTTTTTAAAATCCAACTTTTAATATTTTTGCAATGATTTTCAAATTGCAGAATTTTTTCAATGCCCGTCGGCTAACGATGATTATTCAAAAGTCATTACTGTGGAATCGGCAGTTATAAAAAATTTTACGTCAACATTTTCGGGGCACGAAGTCTGTATTGTAAATCCAATTACTGCGGTTGCAGCTGACAAGTACGCTCACTAGTTTTGCCGTTTCCTAGAAAAATCGACATGATGAAGTTTTTTCCAACTGTTTGCCATCGAATTGCTTAATAGAGTTCCTCAAAAATTAAAACTTTAGTTTTTTTTTCTTTGTTCATTACCGTTATTTTCCAGTTCAAATGAAGGAAATTCTTCGGGTTCGGAAATGAAAACTAGTTTGCTTATCGCTAATGGCGACTCAGATGCTAGTGGTACCCTAACAAACTGTGAAAGCGACTGTAGTCAGAATCGAACTAAATTAACGTCCAATCAATCAGGTTTCTCCATTTTTCCATCTTTTCCAACATCGTTCGATTATCCAAACATATTTTTTTAATTCTTTTTCGAAAAATAATTCAAATTATTTCTCGTATTTATTTCAGAATCGTCCATTTATGCCATAAATTATGCTAAAACATTATTATTTCATCACAGAATCACTTGTAGAGAGTTGAATTAAATCGCCTACACTATTCCGATTCTTTTTATGACTTTTGGTGAATTTTGTTCATTTTTCCCAAAAAGTGGAAATTGCTTATATCAGAATTTTAATCTTTCAAATGTTTCTTTCGAATTTTTTATATTTCAGAAGATTGCTTGATAAAAAATTCATTGAATTATTCGGATAGTGATAAATCACATTGGAATATGCAGAAATTTGATGTGAATGAATTTGAAGACGAGGAAAAATTTGTCTATAAAGTAAAATTAATTTTTACTAGTGCAATTTTTTTTTTTTTGGTTAATTTTTAATGGTTTCATTCACTAAGTAATGGATTTAAGGTGATTTTTTAAAGATCCTTCGTTATTTAAAAGCATATTTATGTTTATTTTTAAAAGTTTCGACAAACGAGTCGATCAAATGAGTTATGCGTTAACAGATAAACAATACTTCGATGGTACTTCTTTTTTTCAGAAGAATTTGCCAAAATCGTATTATATATTTAAAGAATTTATGATGACTGAACGAACTGCTGTGTTCGATCTAAAAATCTTGGCACAAGTAAGAGATGCGATTTCGAATTTCGCATTCCTTTTAAATTCGCTCTTTTTAGCTGCTTAGAGGAGGCTTCGAGATTTGACCGCCGTTTCAACTGCTCAACATTTCCTACTGACTTCCTATAAATCTTTCTCATTTAATCCAACTTCGACTCTCTTTTTTTTTCCAAAAAATTTTGAAGTAGGTTTTTGAGAGAAAAAAAAGGGAACTAATAAAAAAATATTTGTATATCGATGATTTATTATTTTTTTTCTGGAATCGTTTTGCAGAATTTTCAACGATTATTCTTAAAGCATACGTTAATGTCAACTCGAACATTTTCTGAATTATTTTCTACTATTCAACCGCTTTATGTATTTCATCGCGATCTCTTAAACGATCTCGAAATTAAGATGAAAAATTGGTAACGCAGAGTTCAAGTTTTCCTAAAAGATTGGAAAATCTTTTACTTTTTGAGAGATTGAAATGATAAACCTTTGCAACTAATCAGTTATTCTTATTCCTCCAGCAATATTCACCATTTGTGGTTTCCGTGGTCGCACCGACTCTTATGATGAGATTCTAAGAGCTAATTGAGGTACGGGTGGGTCACTAGTACCATAGAGCCAATTGAAGTACGGGTGGGTCACTAGTATCATAGAGCCAATTGAAGTACGGGTGGGTCACTAGTATCATAGAGCCAATTGAGGTACGGGTGGGTCACTAGTATCATTCAGTTTAGATTAATTTAGATATGAAGGTGAAAATAAATCGAAGGAATGATTCAAATCAAAGGAATGAAAGGAAAGAAAGGAAAGTATTTGTAGAAATATTTCTATTTTTTTAGGGAAAATTCGCAAATCATTGCAAATGGCTGTTTTGGCTCTGATCATTTTCGCACCGGCGAATTGTTTTTATGTTCCGTTCATAATGCTCTTCATTACCATCGGTATTATTTAGCGTACCACTTACCACTATTGTATTATTCGCATTATTTTTAACAACTAGCAAAATGATATTTGATGAACGAAATGAAGAATTGGAAATATTCAGTAAAATGAGAGCTGAAGGAAAGTGAAATTTGTAAATTTAGAGAGTAATATTATTAAAGTAATTGTGATAAGTTTATTTGATAAAAACTTCGTTTTTCAGTGATTTGATCCAACAAGCACCAATATTTCTGGCAGCAATTGATGAACTCAATCGAACTAATAAATCATTTTGCAATTCATATAGGTAGTTTATTAATAATTATTGTCATATGCTATGGAACTTATGGAAATACTTTGGTATTTTTCAGGTCAATGCAAGATGAGGATTACTGCTACCTTCCTATCAATTGTCTATTTCTAAAAGCTGTTTTCCGTATGGTTGTTTGGCAAAATGTAGACTTTTAAACGCTTCAATTCGATCTTTATAGATTTATGAGAAGAAAAGTGTTGCTAGATTAACTCATTTTATTCTCAAATTGGTGGACTAGCAACTTCACCGGGATTTCGATGGATTTACTCCTATCAAGGAATACGAATGGAACCCATTATTGTTTGTTCTTTAATCATTTTCTAGGACCAATTAAGACCTTAATTGTAATTTAGATACTCGGTCGAATAGTGGCTGCATTTCTGGAAGAAGGTGGTGATTCGGATGGAACTACTCAGTTGAGCAGTAGTCGTGTTGCGCTCGAAAAAGTAAGCTTCAGATTGGATATTCTTTAAAAAATTTGGATTGCTTTAAATAAATTTATCGCTAGTTTTCGCTTTTATTGTTTTTTTGCTCGATTTATTTCCATTCTGAATTTTCATTACCTATGCGGCAAGCAATATTACTGTTGATGCAAGGTTATAAAACTGTTAAAAACTGCGAAACTAATTAGGCATTTTTTTCGAAATCCAAAAATTTTTTTAAGATTGCATCGTTCAATAGGGAATCGAAGATAATTCGTGAAAGTCTAGTAAATTTCGTTAAAATGGTTGAACTGCAGAGTTATTTAACTGAAGTTGAAGGCCTCATTCATCCAAAAAGAGTTAGCTTTTAAGCCTTTTAAAGAAATTTTAAACCTAAATTTTAATTTAGTTTTGCCACCAAATCATCTCGAAAGTTTCTTTCTATGTTCATTTCAGAGCATTTTTTTCATTCTTTGAAAGAAAGCCATCAAAAGTCTTTTTTGGTTTATTCCTTTTATCTAATCTCTTCCAGAAGTTCGTTCGTGAAGGTTGGATTTTCAAGTGGACAAAAAGAGGACTAATTCCACACATTCTGATTTTATTCAACGATTCTATACTTTTCGCACATCGTTCTTCCAGTGGCTTTTCAGTGGATGGAATTCATGATCTTCGCGGAATGACGGTAAATCTCTCTAAATCTTATGTTCCTCTAAGTTGGTTTACATTCCTTCCTATTTTAACAAATTTCGATTCGTTTTGAACTCTCTTATCTTTATTTTATCTTTCGAAAGAATTTGCTTTCTTACAGATAACTGATGGAGATTTATTTCATTTAACCAGCGATCCCACAACTTGTATCACTATTCATGCGTATAATCAACCGATTATTTTATCAGCTAATTCAACCAATAGTAAAGAAATTTGGAAAGAAGAATTATCGAATATGATTGAGCAAGTGAAAAAATGCAAAATTGAACAATTGCCTAAATCGATTACGACAAGTTCATTCGGTGAATTTTTATCTTTTAAGTAAATTTGATTTAAAAATTTAGCTTTAATTAATACGAACTTAATTTAATTCTCTTAAAACTCGTTCCCTCCTATAGTTTTATCTTCTAAGTTCGCTAGTTGAATGGTACGTTGAGTGTTGATCCAGATAGTGGAACGGGAAAGGAAATTTGACTTCGTGCTCCCAGTAAATTTCTCATTAAAAACGAAATTCACGTGGCTCTGAGGACTCTTGGACTTCTGAGGATCTTTGCTGTTCCTATTACAGATTCCTAGTCTAATTACCAATCTAGTTCGCCAAATTAGAAATGGTGCTTGTTCTTTAAAAGATAATTTTGATTTGAGAGATAGAAAATTCTTGGTTAGTAAAATTTTAAATTTTTAGCAAAAAGCGATGACACTGGTTTTTATGAAGATTTCGTCGATAGCCGTAAAAACTCATCGACTAATAACGTTGCTATCGAACAAGGTTAATTTGAATTGAAATTCCTTTATCAAGGCAATGAATATTTCAAGAATTCAGTAAAAAGAATTCAGTAAACGTCCAATAGCTCAACGGGTTTTTTCTCATTTCTGAGCACAAGTGAGTCCATCCTTCAAAAACCTTAATATTGAAAACCTAAATTTGCGACTAGAGTGGTGCTGGACGCTTTTTTTTTTACTAATAGGTAGTCAGTTAAGTAATTCAGTAGAATAATTTCAGAAAATGTGGCACGCAAGAAAAGGAATAGCAAGACGAATGTGTCGCAAATTTGTTGGTACCGTCAATCTACTTTAATGATGAGTTCTTTGATTAAGGTTGTTTTTTCATTTATTTAAAGTTAATTTTTTTGAATTTTTGAAAAGTTTTCATGCAATTCATCTAGAATTGCTCCCAAAAATTTGGATGTGCTAGAATGGCGGATAATCACCATAACACAAAAATTTAGGCACCAATTAATCAAATATCTGGCTATTTGTTGAGAAAACTTAGAACTTCAACTGGCTGGCAAAAATTATGGGTTGTTCATGCTAACTTTACATTGTTTTTCTACAAATCGCATCAGGTATTTCGCTAAGATTCACTTAATTTTTCAGCAGTTTTATCTATTTTTGATGACTTCTCACCGATTGTTTTTTTGAAAGTTTTTACCATTACTGATTAAACTCGCTCCACTGGGTTGTCGCACTAGACAAATATGCCAAGGAGTCCCTTGGCGACAGAAATACAGGTGAGTGGCCAGCATCACCCGGATTTTCGGACAGGTTTACTCCCGCGGGGAATAGAACCTCAGTGTCGGCGCCCCGAATTGAGCAACAACCCACTAAGCCATCCTATCCCTGTCTCACGGATTGTGATAAGAATTATTCTTAATCCTATTATTTTTAACCTCAAGTTTAGTCGAATCCTTTTGATCACTTTCAAATGGAAAGAAATGGGTCGAAGTTCGAGCAATTCTTGACGAACCAGTGTTATATTTTTTTTCAGGATTTGTCACCACTTGCTATATTACCACTTATCGATTATTATATATCATTACCATCGCTAAATGATGAAATAGATAGAGAAAATGTTTTTAAATTATCATACAAGACCCATTTCTATTTTCTTGCAACTGATAGCTTCTACTCGTTATCAAGGTGTGCTAAGAACCCATTTTCAAATTATCATATCTCAAATTATCAAGTCAAATTTTATTATGAAAATTTTTCAAAAATTATTGGCAATACTTAGTAAATTAGTAAATTTATTTTAAATTATTCCTGTATTATTTCTACTATTTTGGATTAAATCTGTTCTTTATTTAATCGGATATTTAGTTCGAATTAAGAATATATTAAAAAAATTTTTTTAAAAAAATATACCACATAGTTAGTATTGCTGAAATGTTATATATTGGAACTGATATAATAATAAAATAAGAATAATCATTTATTCTGAGTTTTTTGAATTTTTACCAAATTCATTGAAAAATATTCCATATTTTTATAGGTGTTTCATGAGATCTTTTTTAGATGGGTGGAAACGATAAGGGAATCAACTCTTAACGCAAATCGATGTGATATCCTCGCAAGTCTATTATCATATCGCTTATAATTTCTAAATGCGAACTTTACGGTGTTTATCAAAGGCTTGCTAGAATTGACTAAATTTCTGCAATCTTAGAGATTGTGAATATGTGCTGAATGGATAAATTGACCATCAAGCTTCAACATTGGCAGTGATAATTTGAGTGGAGTAAAAAAATTTGTTTCATAGTCCTTTCCTTCTGGATATGATAACAAACGAAAGTATTGATATATAGATGGTAGCTTTTGATTAGCTATGTGAGGGAATAACTGGAAAAAGTATTGCTATCGAATAAGTAAAAAGAATTCATATATATGATAAGAATCTTTGCAATCTCTACATTAATCCATCTGTCCATATAAATATACATCTCTAAATCCACAAAAGTAAACTCGTTCACACTTCGCTTCATGTCGGATTTTTTACGAAGTTTACTCGCATGAAAGTAGAATGATGCTTGAGACGATGCTTGAGACGCTTCGCTCCACTCCACTATCTTACCTACCATTTTTAAAATGAAAAACTGCTAGTGACTAAAACTAAACGCGACTGATATCGTAATTTCCATTTTTTCTTTTAAAGACTTCTTTTTAAGAATCTGATAAAATATCTGCAAGATATAATCAGTTATGCTGAATTAAGGCTTCGCTGATTGTAGATCCAAGCTCCTTGCGTCGCTTTATTTTTCTTCATCTCCTATTATTTTAAAATGAGCTTGTTGATAAGGTTTTCTGATCTTCGTAAATAATTTGCCTGTCTATATTTGATTTCTTCTTGCTTTTTTATCTGCCATTACAGTAGGATTTTTTATTCCTAGCATTATTATACATATTAGTAATATAATACGTAATTTTGAAGGATAACCGAGGTGTAAAATGATTTTAATAATTTTTATATATTTTTGTAATTATTTTTTATTTAGTAATTTTTATTTTGAACTTATTTTACATTGAATAGCAACCAGTTTATTCCGTAAATCCTTAGTCTTCGTTATCCACAGATTATCCTATGGTTTTTCGCTGAATTTTCCGTTTTTATTTGATAATATTGCTATTTTACAATGGAAACATTTTTTAAGGTTATTAGCGTTGTCCATTGTAGAGCCATTTTAAATAAATACAGCCTTGCTTCTTTACTTTATTTTTACTCTTTTTGTTTCTTATGTTACCAATTGTTTTGCGATATAGCTTTGTGCCTTTATTAGTTCTTTACTGACCTCAGTGACAATTTAGTAGTTCCACAGATCAAATTGGATCCAAATTTGTGGTGTTTGCAATAAAATCCTTCTTTGTTTCATTTTCTTCGTTTACAGAATCAAAGCTAATGTCTCAAAATTGTGCATTTTCAATGAGAATATTTCAGGACGAGTCAGAATTTATTTCTAAGTGAGTTTATTTTTCATTACTTCACTATTAGAATAAATTACGAAGAAATAAATCGAAAATTCCACAAGAAAGCTCAATAAAATGGGACAAAAGAAGGACTTTAGAATTATAGGATTTTTAACAATGTTCTTAATAACTATTTATATTGAAATGGTAATTGTTCTATTTTCAGCTGGGGTGATAAGGAAGGAAGGTTATCATTCCTTATTAAAAGATTTATTAAAATTTTTCGGAACATTCATTGTGAATACTTGAAAAGTATAATATTAATCCATTTAAATATTAGTAATGATAAATATTGTATAAAATTTTTTGCTGAGGTGATTTGAATTTTTTAGAAAAGAGAAAATCTGATTTGACTTGCTTATCATAGCTTATCAAATCCAGCATCATCCCATTCACTATCTTATATTTTTAAATTAACATTTTTTAACATTTAGCAACAGTTATCTGATTTGGTTCTCCGAATCTAAATCTATATAAATTCGGAAGTTTATATGAATTCTCTCACATTTGGAAACATTTTTGCCCATTTAATGATCAGCAAATTCTAAATTGCATTCTTATAACTTTGCACGAGTTACAGTCGTTGTAGCAATTGGCTTTCACCATTGATCGAACATATGTAACTTCTTACCATTTTTACGTAGAACTTTAGGCATGGGTGCTAGGGGGTGAGAGCACTGGAACGCAGTACCATTTATGGCGGTGATCCCATTCAAACACAATTTCACGTCTATGTGGACCATTTAAGGTGGACAAATTTAGTGAGGACATTCCAAAATATTAACATAATAAGCTATGATATTCAACATAATAAGCTATGATAAGCTATGATAAGCTATGATAAGCTATGATATGATATTCTTTCACTCGATTTATTCGCGAACTAAAAATTAATAAATGGAAAGGACCATATTAATGCTTTCACTGAGAGAGCAGTTCATGTCGAAAATGCTAAATTCAAATATTTCGCACACGTTAAAACTTGCATGTCGCGGCAGACGATGGCAGCAGATTTCACGTTTCTGATTCCACAGAATTAGCAGATTTGATTCATTTTAAATTTATTTAAAAGCATTGCATCTTAACCCAAAGTGTGAAACCCAATATACGAATGAAAGATGGGCGAATTGACGAAAATGCGACTTTACTTTTACTGCATTTGCTGCACCATAGATTTAATCTCTGAAAGGAGTAAATTTATAGTTGAAAAAAGAGATTATAAAAAAAACATTTCGTGGCCATAAAAAAGCAATAGGGAATCGAAGACTTTGGGTAAATGGCAGCAGCAACTGCGAGCATTCACTAAGATTTACTTTGGAATGAATATATTTGGAGGAAATTACAGAAGTTATCGACTCATTCGCATACGATTGCCCAAATTTGTGGGCAATTTAAGGCGTTTTGAAAAATTTCAATCTTCTAAGTGTTAATTTAATTAAATTTGCCCTAATAAATTTTAAAAAATTTTAAGAAATTCAATATGTAAAAAAATGTAAGAAATTCAGAAGAAGAAGATTGTTGAACTGAATGGCGCAAATCAAATCGGTTGAACTGAATGGCGCAAATCAAATCGGTTGAACTGAATGGCGCAAAATCAAATCGGTCGGAATACATGACAAATATCAATTCAAAATCATAAAATAATCATTTATTATCATCCAATTCAAACCGATTTCCTAAATGAATAATTCATCTTTGTAGCATTTTAAATTTTTTGAGAACCGTAAAATCAACAACAAATCTTTGCATTCTTTTATTGATTCATTTGCCTCATTATTTTAAATTATATTTCATTTCGCAAATATCTAATTAGATTAAATAATCTATATTTAATAATTAAAGGATAATAATAATAATTAGTTCCTCTTTCAGCTCTCGGTATTTCTCTCTCATATCTTTTCTTTCTTTCGTCCCTTGGTATTGGTTTATCAATCGCCAGTGCTAATTTTTGATTCTTGTCTAGTGCTACGAAATCTGGTTGGTTCTGTTTGGCCAGTAATTATTTGACTGTTTGAATCGGGAATTACATCGGGAATTGTTTATATATAGATAATATATTGAAATCTACTCTCGCTCTATCGATCTAATAGACCAGTTATTACATAGAAAAAAAGTTGAGTTCCTTGATAGACCAAGCAGCGCACGTATAATTGACGATATGGAATACCATCAGTTGGCTATGGATTATGTTGAATGCCTCGATATGTGCCTCTATTACGCCACTACAATTCTTCTTCTAACAAGCTTCTTTCTTCTTCTAATGGCTCTCACCATTACTGATTAGACTGGTTCCACTGGCAACATGGGTAAGACGCTTCCAAACGGTGCGGTCTGATGCCATCGTCGACAATAATAGAAGCCATTCCTTTTTCCATCGTCTAAGTCCATATATTGCTGGTCCACTACAATAGCGCCAATTGACAAAAATTATGCCAAATTCGATGCAAATCCAACTTTACCACGAAATCTAAATTTTTATTCTGAACCTTAAATGAAATATATTTGAATTAATTTCATGAAGAATTGAATTTAAACGGTAACCGAGGAAATAATCGTTATAAGACGTGTAGCAAACTTAAATAATTCCCACCCCCCCCCCCCCTCCTCCCGCCAATCCTTTTTGATTTTCATTTATTAGGAGAGTATTATGAGAAATTTTTAAGAAAGGCTAATTTGCTAGGATAGTAAAAATTTCATGAGTTTTGCTTTTAAGTTTTTTTGTTTTCAAAAGGAATTCGACTTCATAATTCGGATTTCAACAATCTTAATTGCTTATTCGCATGAAACATGATTTCATAAGGTGGTAATTTTTAAAGAACACTCAAAATACATTTGGATAAATATTAGATAAATAATATGGAATAAATATAAGATAGTTATTTAATAACGATTTAATATTTTTAAAATTTTCGCTCTTTTTCGCTCTTTCGTCGATTTTTCGCTATTTTGTCGATTTTGCCATGCTTTAAAATGTTCATACGTTTCGTTTCTGCTGCACTCATAATTTTTTGGAAAATCTTTAAAGTTATTTATTTAACACTTTATTTAGATTTATTTTATATAAAGCTATTTTATTTAAAATGAATTTTATAAAAAAAACCACAGTATTGATTTAGTATAACCTTGGTATAGTTGTATATTTGTTCGTCTCGAATTTTTATTTTATTTTTTTCTAAGAATATACAAAGGAAAAACGAATTTTACCTAAACTGGATGGTACTTCGCCCATTTAAAAAGTGCAAATTTTTTATTTTTTAAAAACATACGAATTCATACAAATTATAAATTATAAAAGGCAAAAAATTGAGGTTGAAAAGTTTTTCAAAAAGTTTTTCAAAGTTTTTCAAATTTTGTTCTGAGCTGAAATTATAAAAGTTGATAAAATTATAATTTGAAATTGAAATTCATAAGAAATTTTATTGAATTAAATGGCCAAATCAAATCGGTCGGAATACATGACAAATATCAATTCAGAATCATAAAATAATCATTTATTATCATCCAATTCAAACCGATTTCCTACATGAATAATTCATCTTTGTAGCATTTTAAATTTTTTGAGAACCGTAAAATTAACAACAAATCTTTGTATTCTTTTATTGATTCATTTGCCTCATTATTTTAAATCATATTTCA